TAAACCATTCAACTTCTTTAAACTGTCTGTGACTTTTTCCCAGATTATGAAGTTTATTCCCGCAGAATAATGGACTTATTCATGCTAAAAGGAACTATGTGCATAGGGTTTGCGTGCAGCATAGTTCCTTTCAGCAAAAATGCGACTGACTAAAAAGATTCGGTGTTGAAACCATGAATTCGCCTACGATTCCAGCTGTCGACACTTTCGAAGAGAGTGAGATACGCTTTATAATTTAGTGAAAATCGCATGCATTCCTGTTACAAAACGCCGCGCCGCCGTCGGAGGAAATAACGGTATTTTCCCTCGTGGCTTTGAATAATAATTCACAGATGCACAAAATATGCATATTCGGTGCGATGCACGATGGCATATTGTTACACCGACACCATGTACTGAATATTGATCATGAGGTATATATGAAGTCGCGCATGACGCTAACGCTGTTTCAATATTTCGCAAGAAGTAAAATAACATTTCAAGGCGTACATTTTACAACATCGCTAATCGCAGGCCCCCGCATGTCGTTCTCTCCTGGTTGAAGGAACGTAACTCCATTCCAAACTTGCCAAATTGACTTAAAAATTATTTTTTAAAAATGTATAGAGGTGGATCCAGCAATTTGGCAACACCGTATTCCCACCTATGTTAAATTTACAATCGATTCTTGTCAGGGCACCTGGCCTCTTCAAGAATCGGTACATTCCCATAGGTTTAGCAATAGAGAAAAAGCCATGTTGCCAATTTGCTGGATCCGCCAATAAAAATGTACCTGTGCAATTTTTATTCGAGATTAATTTTTCTGCGTAACATTGGATGAAAAATAGCGAAATTTTCAGTGGGAAAAGCCGAAGATCTTTTGGTTAATGTGCAATCAGAGACAAGAGACCGTCCACCAGTATCTCAGCCATGGTGGAAGCTTTTACTTTCGGGACTTGAGCATTCTACTTGTTGAGTTGACTTACCTACATGGTTGATGTTTAACAACGTGTTGGCAGTTTCGTTTTGCAAACAAGCCGAAGTTAAGGAAACTTGTTTGGCTCAGTACATCACCCGAAGCTCATCATCCACCATGTAGGTAGGTCAACAGCCGAAGTTAGGGTGATGACTGTTGCTCCCGTATAATTGTCATAAGGAATTGTTGAATCCCCGAAAGTAAAAGCTTCCACCTGTCGCCAAGAGGCCAGTGGAGGGTCTCCTGTCTCTGTGTGCAATTTGCGGGGGAGAGTTGAAAACATTGAAATGGAGCTAGGTTCTTTCGTGAGGGGAAGGACGATGCGAGTGCGAAAGTAGAGGTCTCCTTCTATCGCATAGCCGCGCTTAAATCCGGCAAAATCTCGCAGTTTGACAGCTCCGAGGCTCCACCGTCTCGTCGCTTTTGCGTCATAATATTTTCATGAGTTTGAACCCTGAGAGGATATTTGCCGCCGATAGGGATAGGGCTTCGCGAGCGCGGTTCGCGGGGGAGGGAAAATTTCAGTTTGTCCTCGCGTCGCGTCATGCCCTCTCTCCGCTCCTCTATTACCCCTCCCCGAGGCGCGCTTATTCACAACACGTAGCTCCTCTAACGTAGGAGCGTGCCTCAGTTTGTGCCTTGTTTTACACACAACTACATGCTTTTCGGGGCTCACTTAGAAGTAGAGATACGCTTTTATGTCATCGGGGCGACGAACAGAGCGACTGCGGTTTAACGCTCGAAAATTGCAAGTCGCTGGAGCTTTAATAAATTCCGAGTTGGGCCCTCCCCCTCCCTCCTCCCTCCCCCGCCCCCCCCCCGCCGTCGGTCGAATATTACCTCATCTGTTAATGTCGGGTAACGTCGTGTAACATCGTTCTTTGCAACATCCAGTTACGAGGTTGCCAGCTGTGTTTCATAGAACAGGGTTCTATTCTGCATGCGGTGCTGAGGAAGAACGCCATATGAGCCTTCAGACGTTGCCAAATTTCCTTTGATAAAACTTGAATTTCCTGGTAAACTTATCAATATTTTTCTCCCAATTTTTCGGACTATTTTGTTTGCAATCTGAAGCTCCTGAAAACTTCAAAGAAAAATATTTATAACTTTCCTCAAAAATAAGCATTTTATCGAAGAGAATTTGGCGACTCTCGAATGTTCATACGGCGTTTTTCCTTAGCACGGCAGAATAGAGCCGGAAAAACTGTTTACTTAAAAACGACCCAACTCTGACAGTTCAGAAAAGTCGTTTTAATGGAGGAAAATTGTTCATAGAATCAGACGCAAGTTTTCATTCATTATGATTTTAGTGCGGAAAGAAAGAAACAACTCTTATAACCTCTGAATGAGATCAACATGGGCGGTTTTCGTTCAGTTTGAGATACTATCTTCGGAGTTCCAAATAGCTTTTATTTACAAGATAACATAACGAAAACTTTCGTGTCGCTATCTGTCGGTCTCTCTAAAATGGCTTGACGACATTCGTCGAATGTCTTCATTTCATTGGAAACCATCGGGTTCAATTAGTTTCCTTGTAAATTTTACCTTTTTTCCAGAGTTGAGTTGACTTTTAACAGGACGTTTAAAGTAATATTAAAAGCATTTAGTGCAAAGCCATAGGATCAAGCAAAGGAATCCGCATTCTCAACAACAACAATAAACGGCCTCTTCGGCACAAAGCGAAAAATTAACCATCCAATTATAGTTAAGTATCTTAGACATTCGAACGCTGGCGTACAATTTAGTCAACCTCTATTTAATTGGATCGATCCAGTTATAAATCTATCGACTTGTATAGCTGTCACTGATCGGAACTAACTCGATATGTCACGGCAAAATGAACCTCAGATTTCTTCGAAATAGTATTTGTTCGTCAGACTGCATCAGTTTATCGTCCGTAGTAACTACTTCCTCCACCAGGACCGGATTTAGGGGGTGGCCACATGGGCCATGGCGGAAAATTTTGCAATTTTTTTGAAATGTAGGTATAAAAAAAACCGATTTCGAAAAAAATACGAACGAGAAAAGGCGACAAAATCTCTCATTTCCTGAGATAATGGTAATTTCTAATTTTGTCGTCTTTCGGTGATACAAGCGGCAGCACCTTTAATTAGTCGAGGTAAGAAAGAAACCAATCACGCATTGTGACCTCGAGCGGCGCGGCGCAGAGAGAGCAGTGATGACGAAGACTTGAGATGAAAAGGAGAAGCCCTTGCTCGGCATTTAACATATATTAGCGCCTACAAGATTTCACGCATTGCGTCAAACATAGTGCGGTCAGCAGCGGTCGGCGGGAAACGCATAGCGCCTACAAGACTGCATGGATACTTCACGCATTGCGTCAAATACAGTGCAGCCCTAACGCGGCGCGGCGGTGGAAGTTAAAATTATTAAACCGCATTTAATTTTATTCTTTCATAATGTTTTCGTTCATTTTTTAGAAATAGAGGGCCTTGACCACACAAAGATAGGTTTACGGCACTTAACTTTTGCTCAAAGTTCCGTGAACTTTGGCTAGTAACGTTGACAGGGCTTTCGCAAAAAATGTGTCCAACACGAGTAAACGCGTCTTATGCACCCCTCCTCCTGCGGCACGTTTACTCGATGATTTTTATCGATGTTCCCAAACGAATGATAAGGGGGCGGAAAAATACAAGCGGCCCATGGGCGGCAAGTATGTAAATCCGGCCCTGTTCTCCACCTTTCTTCCATTTCCGCGGGAAAACCGTGAAAAACTTATGGAATTTGAAACCTAAGAATGTTTATAAACCTTGATCCCCAGTGGGTGAGACAATGGATGTATTTCGGCGACCTCGCAGTGCTATCTCCTCTATAGTGTGTCGAAGTTACTTTCGGAGATCAACGCTTGTCGAGCTGATTATTGAAATTGATAGGCAAAGCGACAGACAAAGAAGACATACGGACTTTGAGCGATCACGTTAGTTGAAACGGGCGGTTCAGCTAATAAATGATGAACTAACTGCAGAGTCTTTTGGGGGCTGCCGCTATAATTAGTCTATTACTCACCCCCTTGGTCCATTGCAGCCACCCGCTTCCACCAGTAGGGTCGCTCCATTTTCCCTTAACTCTAGTTCGTCTATAGCATTTGTCCATCGATTTCAATAATCAGCCCGCAGATCTGTCTAATGATGACCAATGACCATAATCCAAGAGTTGAGGAATGGTGTAGCAATCTAAGCCTTTTCTTTATTTATTTATCAATCTGATCATTATGTAGCGAATTTAATTTGATTTTTGTCCGAGGCAAGCTGCTCGGCAACCATAATCAAGCGAGAAAAAGCGTTGACCTCCAGATTTAACTTTCGCCTCACTCGATTACATAGTATAGATTGTTAGTGCGAGATATTTGGAATATACCGTCTCTGCTAAAAATTCAGTTTCACAATGAGTGTCTTTAACCTGATTGCTGTTCCTGATTGTTGCCTATTACTGATTGAAGCTTCTGATTTCCAAAAACTTTTCCTTCACCTCATTACATTCCTCGAATTTTTTTGCGGGGTCTCTGAAATGAACTTCCTCTGCTGGAGATTCCGTTTAACGATGAGTGTGTTTACATGATTGCTTTTCCTGATTAGAGTACCTATATTGAGAGAGTATGACCACTGGAGTTACCACCTCTGATTGGCTCAGCCACCTTAGGCTGAATGGAGCCCTTAGGACCCAAAAATGGCGGACGCCATAAAGTTAATGTAATGCAAAATGATTCAAAATGTAGTTGTCTTTGCTTATCGTAACGAGAACTTTACCCAAATGCACTATTGCGACTTTTTTACATATTTTTAAGGCTAATCGTGTGCAATTTTTGAGGAAAATGATCTTAGATGTAGTAAGGTTGGCAGCAAGTGCGGTTGGTGATAACCGTCAAAAGTTGGCAATGACCCCCCTCCCGTCCTCAAAAACCAAAACAAAGCACCGCCATTTTTGGGTCCTAAGCCTCTCCATGGGACCCAGTGGCCATACTCTCTTAATATAGGTACTCTATTCCTGATTGTTGTCTCTTGATGATTGATGTCTCTGATTTTAGGCTACCTGACGAGTCCAACGCGGCTCAGGTTTTACCGCTCCATCTCGGACTCGGTGTCGTCGGTGTCCATGTCGTGCGACAAGAAAAAATCAATAGGCACGTTCCACTTTCAATCAATAGGCACGTTCCACTTTCAATCAATAGGCACGTTCCACTTTCAATCAATAGGCACGTTCCACTTTCAATCAATAGGCACGTTCCACTTTCAATCAATAGGCACGTTTCCACTTGGTACATACTTGCTCGTCGATTGTCGCTCCAGCCACCACCTAGTTTCACTGTTAGATACTAGATAAACCATAGTTGCACCCGTTTTCAAGTAGATCAACTCTTGTCCAAACGTAGTCCGTAAACTAGAGTCCCTTTATGCTGAGAGTCAAGACAATTCGGCTCATGGATGTCACAAACGGGAATAAAGATTACAGAAATTGAACGTTTTTCGTAATCTTTGATCGGCCCATTCTCAAATGCCTTTCTCCGTTCCTCCTCTCATTCCGTTTGTTCCTTGCCGAATCCGTAATTCCCTGGTCCATTCCAGATTATAATCTTTGCAATTGGTGAAAATGTAATCTTTATTCCCGTTTGTGACACTGTGGAGGCCTAAAATACGGGAACCAATCAGAAATGGATTCAAATTGTATTGACTCTCAGTATAAAGGGACTCTACCGCAAACAACATTTCCGGCTTGACTATTTGCCTCTTTGTCCGTATCCATCGATTAAGCCTGTCTCGCAATCGTTTTTGCTCGACAAGGTCGCTCGATGAGCTATCGATCAGAGGTCAATAATTATCGACCCGTTGGGAAAAAATACGGTTTAAGTTGACTCTAAAGAACTCTCAAGAACGATTCGAAAGTCAATGGATAATTTCTTGATCAGCAGACATTTTTTGAATGATCCCTGAAAAACTTTCGTGCCAGTAAATAACATTTCGAACACTGATACCTTACGTACTAGGGTGTGATGTTGTGTGTGCATGATGGATTTTTGGCAAAAGGTCTCGATAAACCAGAAATTATCAACGATTACTTATTGAGTCGCCTTTAAGAGCTCTTTCAATCTGCCTTATAGTACCATGTATTTAATGTCTTTTTTATTATCTTATTAAAGCAACGCACCGTGATGGGAGTGCCGTTTCACGATTTCAGAGTCAGCGACCTTCATAGAACAGCTATTTATCCAACGACAGAGATTTACAAGAGCGAAGTGACTTATATTTGTCCGCGCGCGTAAGGTAAAATGACACCTCTTGAAAAAATAAGAAAAAAATACGCATATTCCGACTCTTGCCATCGATATGAAATAATGACAAGCCGCTCTTCAACTTCTTCCATCGTCTTCAATCCTTTAAATTTCCCACCTAAAGCCTAGGAATTATTTTTCCATGACATTTGTGGTTTAGCGTGTATTTAACGTAGGTACCTGTGGTTTCTTATTATTTTTACCACTCTTCTGCACCCAGCCGACTTATTGTCTTCGTTTTACGTTTTTTCACGTGAGTTTAGTGACGGAGGCACCAAACTTCAATATTGCAACCATGTAAGTTTCTCTCAGTAATTCTGCTTACTTAGATTTCGTAGTATTTGGACGGCTTCAAGTAAAGTAGTCAAACTTTCACTTAATCATTACGGTATGCGTAACTGGTGGAACCGAGAACTTTTAAGGTAGTTTGAGTTGCTTGGCCACCGTTTAGATAATTCATCGTACATTTGTCTAGATGTTAGATGTACGTGTGCTAATCTAATGAACGTTTATGCTTAGGTGTGCATAGTGCGGATGAAAAGGGTAGAATAGCTCTTCCGTGCTTCATGTACGTCAAAGAACATATTGCCCCTCTTTCATAGTCCGCCAACGTAGAAGTTGAGCCCGCAAAGAGCGAAAAGAATAAAACTTTCGCAGGGCTTTCTTTCAACGGAGATAAATCTAAAGGAAGAAATGTTCCCTTCGAATCTCTGAACTGGGTGAGCTTTGGTGGAGAATTCTTTTTCTAACCACAAAGCGGACACAACATCGTTTCTGAACGAACTCCGATTTCGTAGCGCTTATTTTGTGGTATTAGTATATTAGCGCTTGAATAAAATAAGTCATACATTACTTTATAGAACGTGCTTAACATGCTGTATGCCTCCTTAGAGGTTTCTTATTTCATTTGACAAATCTGCTTCAGTTTGCTGTTATTTTAATCAGTGTTAGAAAGCTATCGGGTAGTGGTTGTTAGCATTAACATTAGCTGTTAAAATTAATTTTAAAAATATGTTTTGGTTCTTAAACTAAAGAAAGAAAAATTACAATTTGACTCTTCCGCAAAACGGAAACATTTTCGGGCGCCAGCGTCTACAACTGATTTACCCATCGATTGACGCCTCAAAAAGATTCGATTCCGATCAGCCTAACTGCCATGCTAAGGAAAAATCCCGCATCAATATTCAGACTTGCCAAATTTCCCCGAATAAAATCCTGTATTTTTGAAGGAAGGCATGCATATCGTTTCTTGAAATTTTCAGGTGAGTTAGAATTTGGACATATTTCTATCAAACGGACCTAAGCGCCATAGGGCGAGGAAAGTAGAGGGGGGCTTGGATTGGCGGCGGAATCGGGCGTACGGCTTATTCCGTCCTATACTCGCAATGCTTTTCCATGGCGCTTAGGTCCGTTTGACAGAGCGCGCTATCCGGGATTCTAAATTCCTCAAAAGGAACTCAAATCGGCGCTTAGTTCCGTTTGATAGAAATACGTCCAATTGCGTAAAAAGTTTTCTGAAATATTCGAAGAAAAATATTCAAGAATTCCCAAGTAAATTAATTTTTTATTGGAGGGAGCATGGCAACGTCTGAATGATCATACGGCGTTCTTTTTTTGGCCCGGGAGCACAGGACTTTGGACACCGAGTCCCATTATACGAACATCCAGGGTTTTAAGGTAAGGACGAGACTACTCCGTTAAAAGTTCTTTTTTAGATTAGGAGAAATTTGTAGAAATTCAACGTAATGAATTGCTTCATTTGTGGCTGGAAAAATAAAACACAAAGGGGATGCACCGACTCACCGTGCAATGTATCAGGCCGATGGTAGTTAAAAGCATCTATCGATGAAAAGGATCCCAACATTCCATGCAACTTTTCCTACTCTGCGGATGCCAGTATTGCGTTTACGATAAATGAAGGCGCTCTAACTTTCCCCTTGCAGCACAACACAGAGGCGCATCGACCTATAACTTTGCTGATAAGACTTCGCTCAAAGGATTATTTCTTGTAGACTTTTTTCCTCCTTTCTTTCTTGTTTTTCTCTAAATAGGATTAGGAACAAGTCAAGCAGGGTGGCGTCTGTGATCGATTCGACGAATTTTGAACTTTCTCGAATATATACATTTTTTTTTGAAGGTTCTGAAATGGTCCACTAAATAAAAAATTAACGCTTGGTGTTTTGGTAACGTTATTTAATACAGTGCCTATCTTCCACGCCAGCATTCCTACGGTGTACAGTTATTGGGGGACGCAACCCAGGTAAAAATTGGCGATAAGAGCTGCGTTTCAAAATACCATAAGAATTCTTATAGCCGGCTAAAGAAAGCTACAGAAAATCATATAGCTGGCTGTAGAATGCGGAGAAAATCATACGGCCGGGCTATGCGGAGCTATAAAAAATTATGCAGCCGGGATATAGTTCCTATCGCCGGGCTTTACACTTTATCGCCTGGTTGTTGCTTTTTCGCCACTGATTATAAGAGGCGATAAAAAAGTGTGCAGAAATTCATGTGCTTCGGTAATTATAAAGTTAGATACGGAACCACCTTAATATTTACAAAACACACATTATATTTTCCTTTAATACATAAATTTTTTCATCAATTAAAATGAGAATAATCCATGCAGGATGTGCAAACATTTCAAAATCATGAGTTGGATAACGCTGACTCCGCCAGATTAAATATTAGAGCCTAACACAAAGCGGAGCGGCGACGCACTGGCGCCTACAAACCTAACATGAATACTTCACGCATTGCGCAACGCGTGAAGTATCCCTATTAGGTTTGTAGGCGCCAATGCGCGTTTCGCGCTAGCTGACCGCCTGTCGCACCGCAGCGTGCCACGGGCGGCGCTTAAAGCAACTATTTCACACCAGAGGTATTGCACAGTGTCATACGACACTGAAGGCGCTCTAATATATTAGGACTGGCAGGCATCCATCAAAAGTACGGAGCTTTCCTCGCAAAATAAATCAAGATACTACGGCCTAAAAAGAGAGCAGTAGTCCAAAAACTCACTAAGTCCTAGCATCCGGAATTAGTAACGTTTAGCATACACTTAATCGCCTGGCTGTTGCTTAGTAATCGCCATCGGCTGTAAAACGCTATAAGAAATTGTGTAGCCGGCTATAGAAGCTATTGGAAATCTTACAGCCGGCTGTAGGTCTGTGGTATTTTGGAACACAGATTCTACTGCCAATTTTTACCAGGGAATGAATAACAAAAACGACAGAAAACTCAGTATCAATGTTTATTTGATTAAAAAGTTGTTAAAATTTCTTAATTTGCCTATAAATTTTATGCCTCAATGTTCTGCGCCTGGTCATGGAATAAAAATCTGATAATAGCAGTTTGCAAACATTCATTAAACAAGTTGCTCATCTATGACTTTTTCATCTTTTTTAATCAAACCAATGCGGGATGTAATATTAAACAAAGGAGAGAAAAAAATATGTGCCGCGGACAAAATGTTACATCAGATAGAGGGAAACAAAATATAGCGACCGATTTTTGATTATTTTCGTTTTATGGAAAAGTAAAAACCTAACTGCATCATTGCGGATTGTGAATATTCATCGAGTGAAAAGTATATTCAAAGAAAAACACGAAGGAAAAGTTGGTCTACCCCTCTTGTCAGGACGCCAAAAGCGGGCCAAAATCCTGTAAGACCTCATTTATGCCGCCTCGGTTAACCCGTATCATCTTCTATCGATGTTGTTCATTGTCGGGTAGAATTTAGGAGCCAGCTGTTGCGCCGCTATAGCGCATCGTTGCCAACTGTTTCCTTAAAGTAAGGTTTTCTATCTTCAACTTCTCAGAGTAAAAATGATAGTAAAAATTCCTACTGTAGT